ACACAAAGAAAGTCAAGTGAATTTTACAGGTATTGAGGTCAAATTTGCTGAGGTAGTAGCTGAGAGTAATTCACAGAACACATTCTAAGTGCTTTATGATCAAGAGCTTAACTTAAAATTTCAGCATTAACAGACAGAGACAATCATGTTTTACTTGTAGCAAAATATCTCATGAGCTACCGGACACGTTTTAATGAAGCTCTCTGTAAGTAATCATCGGATAAACGTCTACAACTCTTTAACTATTGAAGTCTACCCAATTCAAGATGGCCACTACAGCTAATCTACATTAGCCAACTCAGAAAATGCCATATCTTTGTCAAATTAAAAAATATTCAGCTCAAATTTGGTGTGGTAGTAATGATGTGATCCCACATTATTTTATGATGAAACATTTTAGTTACGATAATTGCGCCAACAAAAAAATGATCGTAAGCTCAATCATCCAGGTAGATGACGACAAAAAAGGTAAAATCAGTCAATTAAATTAAGTTCAATAAAAAAATACTTTATTAATCCCAAAGGTTATTTAAATGTAACTGGTTAACCTCGTTTCATTAAGAGATGTTATAGAAACTGATGGCTGCAGGAAGGAAGGATCTCTTCTAAAGGTCCGTCACGCAGCAGATCCAAAGAAACTGGCCCCAGATGCCGTCTGATCCATCCACCCAGACTCGGCTGGCCTCTCGGTTCCCCCAGGCTGCAGGACTGCCCAATGCCGGGAAGAACTCCCCCCAGAGTGATGGCCACTCCTCCCCGCAGCCTGCCAAGCTCTTCGTCGCTGCGGACAGCCAGTTGCAGGTGTCGAGGGACTATCTTGGTCCTTCTGCTGTCACGAGCCGCATTTCCTGCCACTTCCAGGATCTCAGTGGTCTGACACTCGAGCACAGCTGGCAAGGAAACGAGAATGCATCCACGGAGCCTCCTTTTCAACTCATTTGAGATTTGGGGCTGTAGCTGAGATATTATTTGAGGTTTTGAGATGTTAATCAGCTGCTCCCTGCTGTGAAAACAAACACCTTGTTGCCATGGCTACGCATCATGACAAATGTCCAAAACTTTAAAAAGTTTCAGTAAAAACCCTTCCAGCTGCACAGCATCTGATACCAGAGGAAACAATCGTCCAAAAAACATGCTTTACATCCAGCAAAAGTAGAATTAAAGTTTCCAAAAGTAAAATCTCAGAATGAAAGTAACAGAGCTGCTCCCACATGCAGCCACCTCAAACGGCACAATTCCAAAACAAGAATTTAAAAATCACGTCATCTGGACCTATTTCTTTAAGTGAGAAATGTTTTGTCCCCCATCCAGAGGACTTCCTCAGTCTATGGCCTGCCAACCAGATCTGTCCCATAGGTAGCCTTCACTGCTGTGTTTCAAGCCAACCTCCTGTTGGAATCTCAAAAGTATGCTTTTGAGGCTTTTAAGAAACTGGTCCAGATGACATGATTTATCCCTTTTTTATTATCTACCTGGATGATTAGTATCTTTAGAATGATTGGTTCAATTAGCTTTGTAGAGATCTAGTAGAGTGCTGTATGAATGGGTAAATGAGGTACAGATTGCAGTGTAAAGTGCTTTGAGTATCTTTATCAGATAGAGAGGTGCTATATAAGTACAGTCCATTTACCATTTACCATGACTGAGCTTACAACCCTTTTTCTGAACCACTTTGGCCTTGGTTGCTCTCAGGCTGTTTCTGTGAGTAGCAAGTTGGTCATCTGGCCTAAAACATTTGATTGTTATTAAATGATGATTGGTTGTTATGGATGGATACTTCTGAGATTCCAACAGGAGATTGGCTTGAAACACAACAGGCTACCTATGGGACAGATCTGGTTGGCAGGCCGTAGACTGAGGAAGTCCTATGGATGGGGGACGAAACGTTTCTTACAGAAACGTCCAGATGACATGATTTAACCTTTTTTTTAATTGATAATTGTACCAAGTTTACAGCTAGTTGTTGCTGAGCTCCATGGTCTTTTTTTCTTTATTTTTTCATTTAACTATTTCATTGCTTTCACCATGCTGCGTGCTCCTGCCTACTGCCCTAAACTGAAATATAGAAAGTGAAATATGGAACTGAAATAGTATCAGATTAACCTTTTTTTTTATTGTTCATTGCATACATTTTTAGAAAACCAAATCAGATCAACCTAACCGTCTTTATCGCAGCTCAAGTGAAACTCTTTCACAACAAAAACATCACTTACAGATCCCCCCTTTAATTGCTCAAATCTCCTTTTTTGAATTTTTGCAAGCCTTAGGAATGGAAAGCCTTTTGTTGAAGCAGTTATTTACAGCCAGCCAGCCAAAAATAAATAAATCAACAAATAAAAGTAGGATCAAATGTGATTTGTGCAGCAAGACCCTAAGCAGTCACCAAATCTCTATTAAAATAAAAAAAAAGGCTGAAAGCACATCCATTATATATTAATTCAAACAATCACAATGTCTATGGTCATAAATACATAGGTTTGAAAAAAACAAAACATAAAATCTGTTAAATGGACCCAGAGGATAGATTGTATTGCCATCAGTGAGCTGCGTAGCTAAGCCTGTTAATTCAATCATCAATGAGTGTATTGATTTCATTAAACCTGGCTATGAATCCTCAAGCTATCGACTAATCCACCGCATTAACTAATGACACAATCTGCAACATTTGTTTAAATATTGTCAGGGAATATTAACTAAATGATCTCAAATCAAATTCTAGAAGCAGCTCACGGTTAAAAAAATAAAAAAAATAAAAATCATCTGTTTTACAAACATGCAGAGGGAGGAAGATTAAAAGTGTTTTTCTTCTTTCCACGTGCACGCTGCTGTACATGTTGGCAAAATGTGGCTCGAGAGCCAGATGTGGCCAGTGAGCCATTTCCATCTTGCCCTGAAATGGCAACAAAACAACTTGTTATAAAAAATAAAATAAAATCAATGCAGTTTTTTTTTTTTTTTTTTAATTAAGGAATCTTGAGGCACATGAAAACAAAATCTGCTGTCGTTTTATGATTCCAGCTGATTTGACCAAAAATGTTAGCTTTGTCCTGGAATGTCAGTGATTGATCAGCAGCCAAAACTGAAAGTAAAACAAAATAAAAATGTCTCTAAGATAAACTTGTTCTTACTACTGTGAGTAAAATGAGCCAACCAGGACTATGGAACTTTGTGACCACCGACATCTCACTGCCTTTGCCGGCCTCCTTATGTATAAATGTATTATGATGTTATTAGTATATTGCAGTTTATGTGGGAGTTCTTTTTTTTTTTTTTTCCAACTTTCACACTGTGTCCCCACCAGGACAAAGTGCAAGATACTTTTTTTTTACCTTCCCGTTTCACTTTTCCTTATCTACTGTCTGTCTGAAACAGGTCTCTCATAAATGAGTCCACAAGGCTCAATGGGAACTAACCTAT